AGAGATTAAATAAACCTACTAGTTGTAGAGTGGTAAATAATACAGAAGGACAAATACAATAACTCTGTTCAAATGGGGTTATTTTGAGGAACATTCTACTGTCTTCCACGCTTTCAGAGAGCAGATCATACCATAAGCTGCTGGAAACGGGCAGTCCTAACTGGGTACCCCTTGAGTGGTATATGCAGTGACCAATTCTCAAGCCTTGGAACGGACACTGTTAAGTCTCATTCTCTGAGCTTCTTACTGATGCAATGCTGACTTTTGCATGAGCACAGCAATAGTTCAGAAAGTAAAGGAAACATCTCCATAATTGGGATGCCAGCCAGCAGTGAATTCAGTGGCTGAATCACAAAGACTGAGGACACTGTTTATGACTGACTAGGCTCATTGTTCTAAGGCTTGTGGAGACTGCTTTCGGTAATACCTTTGGATTCCACGGGGCACTATTCCACATCTGATTTTACTCACACCCTGGGCTTCCGAGCAGCCTGAACATTAGCACCCAATTGAACTGCTGAAAAAAAAAAAAAAAAAATGACCGACGTATTTTATACTTCTGTCATTAAGTAGAAGATTGAAGAAATGCCCATTGTAAGCCATCAGTTCTTAAGCATGAACAATGAGGGCTGGAAAGAGGAAACCAGCATCAGCTTTCACTCTTTTCTCTGAAAGTGTTAGGGGCAGACTTTGCAAATGTAACCCGAGGCAAGCCTCTCGATGCAGGCATGAGGAAATACTGAAGCCTAAACAGAAGTACTTATTGTCTTGCTCTCATTCCTGTTAGGAAATAGACCACGGCTCCTATTGTCCACACCTGAGTGGATCTGGCACATTCTAAAGCCGGGATGAAGAACAGAGAATTGCATCTCCGAGAAGAGGTGGCTGGAGACAGAACGGGGAAATTAAGCACAATCCTTTGAAGCCTTTCCATCCAGCTCTGTAAAATGACAAGGTATTTATAGCATCTTATTTCCAAGTCGACACAAAAGCATACGCTCACGCTACAATGAAACCTGCAATTAAAAAAAAAAAGGCCACCTATCTTTGAGATTTGATTACTTTATCGACCTGGGTTTCTGACAGTATAGGTGACTGAGGGGTACTTACAAACTGCGGTGATGGCTGGAGGTGCCACAGCTGCTGAGGAAATTTGTGAAATGACTTCATAGTTTGGCTCCACAATGTAGGGTGTAACTTCTTAATACATTTCCCTTATTGGTCTTTGTGCCCATTGCATATTGGTCCTTTGGCTTTTGTGGAAGGAAAGAAACCTAAATTCCATAGAATCTTGTTGAGCAAAGAAACGTGTGATATAAATACAAGCTGCTGCTTGGACCGATTGCTTTCTATTTTGCACAAGCATAGACAGCTCAGTGCTTTTTATTTAAAATACATTTCACAACATCTCCTCAGTTTCACAACTGCTGCAAAAAATAGCCATGGAGAAAAGCCATGGTCCGTATGCCACTAATTTTAATAAAGAGCTATATTCCCCAAGCGATCATAATTCGGTAATTGGGACACCGTAGCCTTGTATCTCTGCAACTGTGAATTCTAGGGATTTGTGTGAGGAAAAATGAAGATGGAGTTAGCTGTTTTTATTGGAAGCTCATCTGCTAATAATCCACTAGCAATTGCAAGGAGCCATTAAATGTGGAAAGGAAACATGCTAATATTTTTTTTTTCCATTGGTGTTTCCAAAGCATTGTCACTTTGTGACACAGTGCAGTGACCACAAGCCAAGGCCAGAGAAAAGTGATCTCCCTTGGGCTGTCTGTAGTCTGTTCTGTGACTTCCCTCTCTTGGCCCAGTGTAGTCCAGACATTTCAACAGCTTGACTAAGCCTCATCACCATTTAGCTGCCAAGCTTAGTGGCTGTCAGTCTGGCTAGTAGCTTTTTAAGTGCACCTGCTACTAGTACTATGTTTCTGTTTGAGTCAAGAAGAGTAGACCTTTCCCGTCTCCCCCAGTGACCAGGTTCTCTCTCAAAGGAGAATTATTTTAATATTACTTCATCATTCTTCTTCAGGGAAAAATTTTTCCCTCATAAGTTTTTTTTTCCTTATGGAGAAATTACATTTATGCCAAAGACTGGTATGCAACATCTGTTTTGGGTTAGTTTATGGAGAAATGGTTTTGAGCATAAATACTGCTGATATCCTTTTTTTTTTTCCCTTGCGTGGGGCCTTCAGATCTATATGAAAAACAAAACAAAACCCAAAGATATGGTAAGAACGGAGAGTTTTAAAGCATGATATCTAAACTCTATTTGTAATGAAGTTAGTTTGCTATGTAATATATGTGTTGCATGGCAATTATTTATACCTACTGGGTCGTTCATACAAAGGACTGTAATTAATGCATATCATGGAGCTAGAGCATCATTTGGGAGCAAACTCAGAGGACATGAGTGGATAAGCAGTTAAAGCTGCCTTCTGCTCCTAAGTGTCCTGGACCAGAGGAGCCTCCTTGGGCAGCCGCTCTGCTTTTCCATTAGCGTTTGCTTTAGGCCAGGAGGCTGGCTGCTGGCGGCTGGGAGTAACCTTGTCTACCCACAACAAAGGTGATATAAATTTAGAAAGAAAAATTATAGTGCCTTCTGTTTTGACCCTCTTTGTAACTCTGTGTATTATTTATCTGTAGCCATGAAGCCTTTACAAGTGGGAAAAAATAAATAGGGCTTGCTAGAGTATTTTTATTCTTTGGACATCATATAACACCAAAGGGATTCATCCCAGAGAAAGTCTCTGCATCCCCTAGGGATGTTTCAGCTAATTTCTGCTCAATTTGACCAGTGTGTTATCAGACCTCAGAGATATTTCCATGATCCAGCCAACAAGTTTTGCTGGCATGTTGAATGTGCTGTATGAGAGGAAGATAGGATGAAGTGTTCACTCAGTGTTCATTAAGTAGAGTGCTTGCTTATCAGTAGACTATTTAGCCTGCAGATAAATCGGTGGTGTGTTCAAACGTGGGCTATTGTACGAGGTAGCTATAACCTACGTTTTCTAATACGCTAATATCAAAAATAGCAAGAGCAAGCTATGAACCATGCATCTAGTCCTACCTACGTTGAATTTTGCCTTGAAGATATCTGTTAATTTTTTTTTTCTACAAGCTGTGGCAACTCAAGTGACGTTGTTTCTACGAATGATTTGGTGGGACGTGACCATATGATTTGGTTTAAATGCCAACATCCTGGCTTCATCCTATCTTCCTCTCATACATGGCATTCAACATGCCAGCAGATCTTGTTGGCTTCACCACAGAAATGTTTCTGAGGCCTGCTAGCATACTGGCCTCAGCCTGATTGATATAATTTCCAGGGAGTATTATTATATTTTTGCAATTTCTACTGGTTCCACCCTGAGGTGTATTATCCACAGTTGCTGTTTCTCTCAACTTCCTCCTGTAATGGCATTCCGTTTCATTCACTGTAAAGGACAAGAGATGGAAATTGTACATGTATGGGTTCTCTGGTAACCCACCCTCCTCTTACTCCATTAGCTACTCTCCCTTGCTCGATGGACTCTGCATTCATTGACTTCTTGGCTGTTTCGCCACAGTAACAACCCACTTCCAGACAGGGCAACTTTCATTTTCTGCACAAAATATTCTATCTCCTGAGAGTCACATGACCCCCACTCTTAACTTCTACAGACAGTCCTCTGCTCAGTTGCCTAGTGGCTTCCCCAAATAAACATATTTAAAGTTGTTCCCCCCTCTCTATTTCTTTATGACTTGTCATCAGATATATTGAGTATTTTGGATTTTCTCGTTGAAGTTTTATGAAAACAGGACTCGTGCACATAGGTACATCACTTAGCAGTCATCTTAGAATTTCATCTGGCACATTTGTGTAGTTTATGCCCCTTGTACCAAACGTCTCCTTTCGGAATCTGGTTTTCTTCCTAAAATTACAGTTTGTAGTTTTTTCTCCTAATTATACTTCACATAGGCGACCTTGTGGTAGATGAGCCTCATTGCAATGTGGATACCAGAAAACACTTTGTGGGGTGTCAATGCCCCCCCCCCCCATCATGCAGGTCCTGAGAATCAAATTCAGGTCATCAGGCTTGAAGAAGAGCCTTTACCTACCCAGCCATCTGGGTGGCCTAAACTTTCTAAATCCCAATTCCACCGTTTCAACATATTTGAACTGTCATCCCGATTTTGGCTCTGCTTTTTTGGGGAATGAAGCCAGAGAAAGACGTGGTGATAACGGAATGGCTTATGGGCTCAGAGCTCGAAAACGCGCTGTATCTCATCGCTAAGGAGAGGCATTAAGGCCATTTCTGTTCTTGACAACTGCAAGTTCAATGAGTGCCATCAAAGGGGACCCGAATCTGGGCATGGCAGACTCTACAGTGCCTCCTAGCCGGATACCCCAGTAGTTCAAACCTGGTAGGAATCAAAGCCTTGCTTTCTCAGCAGCAGCACCATGTTAACAGGGGCAGGCCCATATTTGCAAACATGTGACGTGCAAAAACACACGTATGTAATGCCACATTTCCCGTAATCCCGCTTTAAAAAAAATAAAAAAAAAGCATGCCCGCGTCTCAAAGATCCCGCACCCCGTAGCAAGCAGGTCGCTCAACTTTTGGCCGGCGTCCTGAAAGGCAAGGCCAGCGCTGGGGCGTTAGAGCCAAGGTTGGCTTAGGCAGCCTGGAGGAGGAGGACTCTAGTTTCCCTGCCTGCACTGCAAGGTCCCGGCGCAGGGGCAGCTTGCATGTGAGCGGGCAGAAGAGAATGGGACCGCGAGACCCGGTGCTGCGGAGGCAGGGGCCGAGCGCCGCGATCCCGCGATCGAGGCTCACGCCCGGGTTCTCTGGAAGGCGGCGGAGCAGGGTGCAGGCGCGGGCAGGGGAGGGGCCTGCTGCGGCGTCCCGCCCTCTCCTCGGGGATGCCGGGATGTTTACCCTCCTGACAGCCGCGGCCCCGGGAGGAGGAGGAGCGGAGCCGGGAGGATGGGCCGCCGCTAGGCTCGCAGTGGTGAGCGCCGGCCGAGCGAGCGGGGTGGGAGCCGGCGCCTGCAGCGGCGATCGGCCCGGAGTCCCGCAGCCCCTGCATCCCCTGCATCCCCTGCAGCCCGCGTGGACCGAGCTGCCCCGCAGTCCCGGTGAGTCTGCACGGCCCGGCCGGGGTGGGGCCGGCGCTGGGAGCGGGCGGGCCGCGCGGAGCCTCGGCCTCGCGTGCCTCCGGGGTCGGGCCGGGCCGCCTGCAGCTGGTGGAGGGCGGTGCGGGCCGCCGGCGGCGGGCGATCGGCTCCCCGGGCCCCGCGAGCCCCGGGAAGCTCGGCTGCGGCGGCGGCGGCGGCAACAGGTCTCCCCGGGCTGGGACAGGAGGAACTCCAGCGAAGGCCCGCCCCCGCGCAGAGCTCATTGGCCGCCGTGCCTATTTACCGCTCGCCGATTGGCTCCACCGATTCGGCCCGCAGCCCAGTTTAGAAAAAGTGAAGTTGCGACCCGGGAGTCCCGGCGATCGGTGGGGCCGGTGGGGTCCCCGGAGCCCGATCGGGGTGGGATCCCGGGCTGGGATTGCAGCAAAAGTTGTGAGCTGGGTTGCAAAGTGTGTCCTAGGGGAGTTGGAGGGCGGTGCGGGACGCTGCCGAGCAACGCGGGCGGGCTGCCACCGCCTGGTGCTGGAGGCCTTGGAGGACCCACAGGGGATGCTTTCACCGACTCTCACACACGCACTGGGCTCGCATAGCATTTGCCCCTCACCCCCATCCCAGCATAGAGTGAGGTATGTTTACAGTTCCTAGTGATGGATCTGAATATAGGGAGGAAAGAAGAAACCCGGTATAGAGATGAAATGACCCCCTCCCTTTGACGTTGCTAATCTTAAAGGTTGTAATGAAAAAAAAAACAGAGACTCTCTAAGTGTGTAGAGCATCGCTGTTAGGACCCGCTCTGGCTCTGGAGTTGCTCCTCCAAGGAATCTGCAGTCCCCAGTAGGCACGGTACCGGCCGCCCTCCACGACGGCGTGCTTCGATAGGTTGCTTTACAGAGCACCATCGAGGATGTGTGTGCCATGAATCTGTTGTCTTCTGGACGATGACATGTTCCTGTGGCCCAAGAGAGGCTTAGTACCCACACTCAAAATACCCACACTCAAAGCGTTATAACCTGTTTGGGACAACCGGGCAAACTCAGAAGATGGTGAGGGAAACACACACACACACACACACACACACACACACACACACACACACACACACACACACAGAGTTGAATCTGTAATGCTTCATCGCATTATTCACCAACTGCAGCGTTTGGTGACGGCCGGTGCACTTGATTTAACCTGGCATGCAACCTAAGTCCTTACTTTATCTTCACAGCTCGCTGCTACACTCCGACAGATCGGAAGCAAACTTTGATTTCATGTCCCAAACCAAACCGTAGCATCCTCTGCTTTGTCTGGGGGAGGGGGGGAATGCTGGAAGTTTGGAAAAACTTTACGCCTTAGAGGGGCAGTAAAGTGGATGGGGGTGGGGAGACGAGAGAGAAGGGACTCTGGGGTGGAGGGGAATGGGGGCCAGTGATCACGAAGTCCTCAGATCAGATCTGCTCTGAGGTGGGAGACCCCGCCCTTCTGAGCACTGACAGCCACCGCAGCCAATGGACGGCGAGGACACCCGGCCCTAGCCCGGGAGGGCTGGTACTTCCTACCGCTGCCCTGGGCAGGGAGAGGGAGGCCAAGTTTCTCAGAGCCTGTGGGCCTGTGCAAAGAAGGGCTGAGGCTCACGGTCTTGTGAAATCAGTGCATTAAAATATAGAGTGGGGGTGGGGGTCGGGGTGGGGGTGGCTGGTTTCCTTTGCGCCCTTTGTTAACTTTCAAGATTCGGGCTCAAAGCCCGGAGTCACCGCTTCCACCGAAACCGCAGCGGATAAGAAACGAACCTGGTCAGCACATTAAATATAGTCGGTGACTGATTGGGGCTTTACCCCGAGATCATCTGAAACTGAAAACCAAGAGCTTCCAGAAGAAACCTCGGTAGACGCCTTCCTGGCAGTTTACTATGGTTAAGACAGTCGTGAGTTTAAAAAGTCAGGGCGGCGTTTTCAGGCAGGCAGACCTATTTTGTAATCTGAGCTACCAATCAAGTGTGTTTATCTGGATAATACCTGTCTCGTTCTGCACTCTTTGTCCACAAACACGTTTTCTTGGCTGGGCATTTAGATTTCTCTGCAGCCGGGAAAGGTCCCTGGTCTGATGACGCCCGCGCGCCAGCGCAGGAGGGGGAGCAGAGGCCACATGGCCTGCATGCCCTTCCTTACTGAATTAAAAACCAGCATCGCAGTTTCACATAAGCCCAAGTGCAGAGCGGGTACACTCTGTAAATTAGTACTTCCGGGGCCCTTTTCCCACTTCCGGGCTTCTGGTGACTGATTGCAGTAGATGCCTTTCAGCCCTGCCTTACATTAAGTAGTCAGCGTTTACTTAACAAAATCTATTAATTTTTATTATTATTATTGTAAGAATGTGATGGGTAGCAATTCCCTGTTTCAGCTATGTGTCTTTTCAAATATTTAAGTAGTGTTCGGGCGCATATGTTACTTCATAATCTAAACATAAGTAGCAATCTTTCTGTAGTTCTGAAGATGTATGAATGGCATGGGTGGTTACTATTTACTGTGCGTTGATTTATCTGCATTTCTACAAATGTAGCAACGTTTTCTAACAAGCACTTATTTATACTTTTGAACTTGTTTCATTTCCTCTTGGATTTTCCCCCCATGGAGAGTATAGGTGAAATAACATTTGGTTACATAATTATAACCAAGCCTATGCATTTGTGGAATATAATGGAAGTTGACAATTTAATCCCCCCCCCAATAGGGTCTCACTTTGTAGCCATTGCTAGCCTTGAACTTAATATGAATCCAACCCAGCATGGTTTCAAACTCAAACTCGGGGCATATTCCTGCCTCTGTGTCCCAAAGGCTGAAATTATAGGTATGAGTTACTACTATTCTTGGTTTAGAATTCTTAAACTTATACAACTTGTGAACTGTGAAACTACCTTTTTTTTTTTTTTTGTCATTTGTCAATCAATAGTTTGATTATCCCTATGGTGTTGCATATTTCTCAAAATATTTTTTTCCTTCTAAAGGAAAAAACTCATGGCTTTTGGGTGAGGGGTGGGTAGGAGGGCAGATCCCCAGAACGTTCTTTACTCTTTGAGCAGGATAAATGATTTTTTTAACCTTTACTAAAAAAACAAAACAACAACAACAAAAACAAACCATGTTATCATGTCCTATATATAGGATGAGCTGTACCGGAATTAATAATTATCTACAATATTATGCAGATAGTATACAAATGAGAAGAACTGATAGATGTATGTTTTCTGTGATTTAGTGGAAATAGGTTTTTTTTTTTTTTTTTTTTGTACATTACCACAGTCGTTTGGTCTAATTTTAAACTCCAGCTGCTTTTGTACAGACAGTTTAGAGTTTTTCACAAACTCTAAACAGTCTGATAGTAAGTATTTTTGGCTTTGTGTGCTCTATTGTCTGCTGGAGCTCCTGCATTTACAACCACAGACAATGCCCATGTATGTGGTTATAGCTGGGCTCCAATAAAACTTTGTTTATATAGACGATAACATCAAAGGCCCTACACACGGATTCCAGGCTGTTGAGCTTCCGACAACAGTGCTCTGTAAACGTTTTTATTCTTTGAGCCTGTGTGAGAATTCTAATGAATTCCCTAGAATAATGGCCAAATTTTGCTTGCTGGCATTCATAAACATACAAGCCACTTAGGTTAGTGTCCTGCCATGAAGGATAAGGGCGTTGGGGTAAAAGTATTTACCGGGGTAAAAGTATTTACTAGACTCAAACAAATATAGAAAAGATTTGATAGAGAAAGTAGTCTGTAAGGAGAGACAGAGATGCAGGGGGCAAATACTGAGAAAGAGAAGCCAGGAGAGGAAGTAGAAATTCTATATCTACAGCTAGGTTTGGATGGCCTTTATTTCAGGGCGACCCCAGACCCATCCTGTGATGTGGCATGGGTTTGTGAGTGTGTGCAGTTTCCTGCTTCCTCCTTAGGAAGCCAAGGTAAGACCTTATTGTTGTTCTTTTGCTGCAGCTATTGCCTCTGAAGCACAAACATGAGACTCAGTGCCCATGTGGAGTTTATTGATAGAAGGGAGAGAAGGGGGGGGTAGCTAGTGGCCAACCGAAAGCAGGGGGAGAGAGAAAAGAAAAAGAGAGAGAGAGAGAGAGAGAGAGAGAGAGAGAGAGAGAGAGAGAGAAGCAAGAGAGAGGCACTCTTGCTTTAAAAGGGAAACTTAACTGGGTCCCCTGGCAGCCAGGTAAGTCATGATATAGAGAAGACTTGGCCATGAGCATCCCACCCATCATCAGGGGGCGGGGTCAGCAGACTGCTGGTTCCCAACACTTATGCCAGTCATCTACTTTTAAACTAGTGATACTCCTAACATGAATGAATTTTGATGTATTTCGCCAGTCAGTTTTTATTTTAGCCTGCTGGTATTACTGTGTTGCCGTTAGAGGGAATTTTGGGCATATTCTATTTAGTTGTATTTTTCCCACTCCTTCTTTTTAAAGGAAAGTGATAACATTGGGAATAGTGCCACATGTCCACAATCCTAGACCAGATAAACTGAGGCAGAGTGTTGGGACTTCTAGCACAGCTCGGACTACATAATATCTCAAACAGTTGTATCCACCACAACAGAAAACAAAACAAAACAATGCCCCGCCTCCCCCAAAAGAAAAGTAGACCTAGTCTTTCTAGTAAAAAAGGAAAACGATAACTAACAGTAAAGGACCTCTTGTCAGAGAGTGTGTGGCCACTGGGAGAAGTCGGGCTTCCTTCTGCTCAGAGAATGAATTTTAAGCTGGCTGGGGTGAAGGGGAAAAGTGGAATGCAGTAGAAAATGAAACACCTTGCAAGGCATACAGTAGAACACCTTCATCCTAGCCAGGAGTGGACCTCAATTGTACGCGGATTTTGACTCCTTAACCCTCAGGGAGGCCATGTGGAAACCTGGACATTTCAGAGCTTGTGGCCAGTCGCCTTCAGCTACAGGCATCATTTTTATCTGAGCCCCTGCCTGCATGTGTTTGCCACGATGTGGG